ATGGAAGAGAGAGGGAGGAAGGATGGAAGGACTACTCTTAACTGGTCAAGGAAAGGAAGGGGAAGGGGCATATGACTTCCTTGTGGCTCTTTCCAGGGTGGGTTTGTGGGGAAAGCGTGCGCACACAGCACATACTAGTACACACTTGGTTTTTGGAGAGCAGACTCCACATGCTGCTCTGTGTGTGACCACAGGAGTGCCTGCCTCTCCCCGGCTGTGTCTCAGCAGCGAAGGGGGTTATACATTCACTAAGGTGTCCTAGGGCTCCTTCTCTCAGGCCGGGCGCTGATGGCCTCGTTTCCACTCTATGGAGTGGGAATGATGACTATGATTCCTATTTATTGTTTTGCCAGAAAGGCTCAGAGAGTTTCAGATACTTGCCTAAGGTCACGCAGCGTGGAGGTGTTAGGGCTGTACTCTTGTTTTAACCAAACCGCTAGGGAGCAAGTGGTCATTGAACATCTACATTCCCCCTACTGGAGGCCAAGCCCTGAATCCGGGCATGTGTCTCCATTGGGAATCAGCTATGACCCCCTGGCTCATGGGTCGACACCTAACCACTGAGCCACACCAGCCAGGCAAGAAGCCACTTGAATCCATAGCTTCCCTTTGTCAATCAAAAGACACGAGCATGTGTTGGAGAGCTGTGCCCAATACTGGCACCACGTTGGAGTTCCATCTGGGAGCTCCCATTCATGTGCTGCTGGGTCCCTGTTACTCTGCTGTCCTCGAGTGGAAGCTCCTGGCGAGGTGAAAATGAATATGTGTTGATGCCTTTGTGGCCACATCCCCCAGCCATGTCCTGCACACTAAAGGTGTCTGTAATGCTAAAGAAAGCACTGACAACATCATGTAAGGGTTTGGTGGTGAATAATAGACGTTGTTGCATGAAGGTGCAAATGCATGCATTTACACTAGAATGGAAACTCCACATGGACAGGGTTTTCTGTCTGTTCTGTTCCCTGCTGTGTCCACTGCTCACAGAGTAGATGCTCAGTGAGCATTTGTTGAGTCAATGAGAGAATCAATAAATCCATAAATTAATGAATGAGTGAGTGGATGAAGAAATGGCTGAGCACATAAATTACTGTCGACTCTCCCCCCCTTCTCCCCCCCCCCCACCAAGCTGCCCAGCACTCCAGAGACAGGCCTTTGTAAAGTTGCAGACCCCAGTGAGGCTGGCCAAGCCTTGAGCTGGGAACCAGGGGGTGGAAGAGCAAACAGAAAAAATCAAGCTAAGGGCTGCTTCACTGTTAAAATCCGAAGGTGCCCCTAGAAGCTGCCCTTACTGGCAGCTGCCTTCCATGGGCTGGGGCTGGGGCTGGGGCTGGGGCAGGGCTGGCAGTATGACCAGCAGCTAAACTCCCAGTAATGCCCTCCTCAGCAATAGCCCACCCCAACCCCAACTAGGGTCATCTAAATGGTAGAGAGAGGGACTGTTTTCCACACTGGCAATGTGGTACCAAGAAGCACTTTCCATCTATAAAAGTGTTAACATAAAAAAACAAAAAAACATTCAAACCTGTAAAGAATTGTGAGTTCATTTGAGCCAAACTGTTGACAATTGCCAGGAAGCAGAATATAAATGTATTGGTATAATGCTCCAGAGAAAGATGGTGTTTTGTGTGTTTTTTTTTCCCTTGTTCTATACATTACAATCAAAAGAGGAGATGTACCAAGGATCTTTTCATATTTGCTTTCTCCCCGCCCCCCACCAAAAAAAAAAAAAATTGGTCCTTAAAAAAAAAAAAAAGAGGAAATATAGGTGAGTTACACGAACTCCATTGGTGATAGACTGGGGGGCGGGAGTAAGCAAAGTGGGGAAACCTCTGGGATTGGGTAAAAAGTAAAATGATAGACACATGCTTCTTTTACTTAGGTGGGAGCAGGATAGTTAACAGCCAACCATTAACTCAATAACAGTGAGGGGATTTGTGGCCTCCACAGAGCAGTGCCTGTGCTTTGAGAGGAAAAAGGAAAAGTATTTTGACATTCCAACCATATGTTATCGTAGAAGCAAAAAGACAATAGGCTCAGTTAAGGTAAAGATTGACCTTTGTCAGGGAAGATACCGGCCTGGGCTGTGGCTACCCACCATAATTGCTTTCAGTTAAAGGTTTAATTTCAGACCATCCTTTGCGGCTACTTTAGGTCTTTGAGTTCACAAGACCACCATGCAGGCCTTACCTGAGCTGGTTGGGTTAGCACAGTAGTCGGCAAACTCATTAGTCAACAGAACCAAATATCAATAGTACAATGATTGAAATTTCTTTTGAGAACCAAATTTTTTAAGCTTAAACTTCTTCTAATGCCACTTCTTCAAAATAGACTCCCCCAGGCCGAGGTATTTTGTGGAAGAGCCACACTCAAGGGATCAAAGAGCCGCATGTCCCCACTGGAGTGTTCCCACGCCAACTCGTGTGCTGGGCCAGAGCATTTCTGCGGGGTAATGTTTAACCTGCGAGCAGTAGCATCGTGCTGGTCTGTGCAGCTCACTGAGGCCGGGGAGGGGCCAGGCCTCCTCCACTGTGGTCTCTGAAGGAGGCACAGCAGGCGCCCTGCCTCCCATTGCTCTGCAGTCTGTCTCACCCCAACAGGAAAGGTGCATCGTTTCATTCCTGAAGCAGCGAAATGCTCCCTTTCTAGGCTTTTGTCCTAAGCTAATAGGGAAGCCTGGACTTGAATTCTTCGGAAAAAATTTTTGTAAACAATTTCTTGGTTCCCATCGAATATGAGCCCAACCCAGCTAAAGTAGTCATCCTGCTAACTACTACGATTTGTGAATATTTCATAACTCACGAAAAAAGGGAAAAAAACATGACTATAAAGTCCTTGAAGGCGGAGATTGGGTCTGGTACTTGGGTCAACCTATCAGGAGCACTTATATGGAAGCAGTTTTCCCTGATGTCGAAGTCTGAGAAAGACAGGACCATGTAAACTTTAGGCCACACAGTTCCCAAACCTTAGCGTGCAGAGGGACCGTTGAGCAGCTAGCTAAAAATCAAGACTTCCAGATCCCACAATCATTCGTTCATTCATTCGTTCATTCAGTATCATTGAGTTCCTACTATGAATAGAGTTGCCAGATTTAGCAAGTAAAAATGCAGGATGCTCAGTTAAACTTGAATTCCAGGTCATGCAGTAGTTGAGACATATACTAAAAAATGCTTTATTGTCAATCTGAAATCCACATTTAACTGGGCATTTGTGTTTTACTCTGCACCAAGCACTGTTCTTGGTGAGCAGGACACAGCATGGCTGACACAAAGCCCCTGCCTTCTAGGCACCTACATGCCAGTGAGCGTGACAGGCAAGCAAACAGCTGAGGGAAGGACATTGTGGGCACCGTGGCAGGAACCACTTCTAGGCTTGCCAGGAACAGAGCACATGTAACCTCGCTATTGGGGCTGGCCAAGTCTTAGAGGGAGGTGTTGGCACCCACTAAAAGAGTTCTCCTAGCCCTAACTGGTTTGGCTCAGTGGATAGAGCAGTAGCCTGCAGACTGAAGGGTCCCAGATTCGATTCCGGTCAAGGGCATGTACCTTGGTTGCGGGCACATCCCCAGTAGGGGGTGTGCAGGAGGCAGCTGATCGATGATTCTCTCTTATCAATGTTTCTAATCCTCTCCATTCCTCTCTATAAAATAATCAATTATATACATATATATATATATATATATATATATATATATATAATTATTATTATTATTATTTTTTAAAGAGTTCTCCTAGCAAAGGGGCATGAAAATGAGAACTGCTCACAGATCCGGGGCTGCTGCTGGTGGGAGGAGAAGGGATGTTTCGGTCATAGCAAGGTGACGTCTGTTTAGTACTCTCAGTTCTGAATGTGCTTACCGTTGGCCAAGTACAAGGTCAGGTTTCCCCGGGTAATGGGTTGTGCTTCCTTCTTTATTCACCCTCTCGTGCTTTTATCTTTCATTATGGAAAACTTTAAACACACAGAATACAGAGATATATAAAAGATCCCCACATACTTCACATGAATATTAACATGTTGCCAATCTTTTCCTGTGGTTGACCTTTTCCTGATTTTAGTTTTATTTGCTATGGAGGTATAACAGACTTATAATAAAAGCTTGATGAATTTCAATGCTGCTTCCACCTCTCCCCATGTTTACACCTGTGAAACCTCCACCTAAGAGCAAGACACATACCACTTTTATCCCCAGCTGACGCCATCCTCTGCCTTCCTGGTGTCTATTCTTTGGTCAATTGTAGTGCACATTAGTGGTATTACATTGGGGGAAACATTTCAGATAAATAGAAAACTTTGAATCCTTCTCCCTTTGCTTTTTCCTTTCTTTTTATTTTCTTTTTTTTTTCTTCTAGTTTATTTACTGACCTAGTTATTAGGAAGGTAAACTCTGGATTGTAAAAAGATATAGAACAATCAAGATTAATTCAGATTAAAGTAGATTTAGAAATTAGCTACTATTGGAGGTTATACGTGTTAATCTTAAAAACCTCCCTTTCTCTAATTACTTTGCCTCCCTCCCACTGAACATTAATGGGCTAGCTCCAGTGGATATATATTTCTTAAAATACATTTTTATTGACTTCAGAGAAGAAGGGAGAAGGGGAGAGAGAGAGAAACATCAATGATGAGAGAGAATCATTAATCGGCTGCCTCCTGCACACCCCACACTGGGGATCAAGCCTACAATGTGGGCATGTGCCCTGACTAGGAATTGAACTGTGACCTTCCGGTTCCTAGGTCGATGTTCAACCACTGAGCCACACTAGCTGGACAACTCCAGTGGATACTGGAGATAGAAAACAGACCTGACCTTGGTCCCTGCTTTTCCCCAGCATTCACAGTGGCCTGGGTAGAGAGAGATGCTGAAGGTATTTCCCAAGACTGTGCTAGGAGGAGTGAGGTCCCCGGCCCTCCAGTTGGGGGAAGGGGCCACTGAAACACCTGAGTGGATGCTGAGCTGGTCGGTCCCACACTCCCTCCGTGACATTACCTGTTGCCCACAGACGCTGCATGAGATCTTTCAGGCAGAGAACACCATCGTGCTGCTGGAGAGGTCCATCATGGCCAAGGAGTGCCCACTGAAGGTGGCACAGACGCGGCTGGAGTGCAGGTCCCGGCGCCCCAACGTGGAGATGTGCAGGGACATCCCACAGTTCAAGTGAGCGGGGAGGCTGGAAGGGGTGGGGAGTTCTCAGGAAACCAGGGTCTGAGAAGGATCTTCCAACAACCAGGGCATCTAGTCTCACAAGTCAACAGGGCCCTGGGCGGGGGGTGGTGTCTGAAATTCGGGGTGGGGGGGGGAGTCCCTTTAAAAACCCATCATGGGGAAGGCCAGATGCTCTACACTGCACTGAAGCCTTCCCAGCTGCCTAAGCCAGGGAACCTGGGTGGGGAATGTCCGGCCCGAGGGCCGCTGAAGGCCTGCGAAACCGTTTGGCCTGGCCCTGTCAAGGCATTACCGGAGAGGTCATTAAATGTTTGACCACATATAGCAGGCTAGTTTTTAAGTTGATAATCTTGTATGACCCGGGAATGATGTTATAAATATTCAAACAGCCCTTAACAGAAAAAAGGTCTCTCCTCTACTCTTCCCCACCTCCCCCAATCCCCAACCCCGGCCTAAACCAAGGACGGGAAAAACCAAGCATGGCTTCATATCCCCACTGTGCTCGGGGAAGCCCCCCCTTTCCCTGAAAGCTAAGGAGAGCTACCCTCCAACAGAGATGTGGCCTTTGGCCCACGGCTTCTCTGCCCAGGCTCCCACACGAGGCTCCCAGCTGGTACCTCACTCCCTCTCCCTCACTGCTTCTCCCTTGCTGTCTGTGTTCAGTCCTCACCTGTGGGCCACTGGAACAGCTTCCTGCTTAGGGGTGGAAGGGCAGCCTCTGTTGGGAAAGGGCCTCCTCACAGCAGGGGTGAAAAGTGCTTCTGGCAGTGAAAACCCAGAAGCAGGGTTTGTGAGCTGGAGGAGGAGCTTGGAGCGAAGCCGGCCAGGTGAGGGAGGACCATCACAGGGGCTTGTTTCCCCATGACGGGCTGTGGAGCTGGCGCAGGCCTCCTGGCTGCCCAGGTCCCCCATGCTACGGGCACTGTCGCAGTCTCTGTTGCTGCGTAACAAATTCCCCCACAATTCCGGGGCTGGGTGTGGAGAAGAGAGCTGAACGAAAGAGAGGGGGCAACATAGTGAGAGAAGATGCAGGCGATCCCCTGTGGTAATGCTTGCTCGGCCCCAGCGACTGCCTGAGATACTCAGGAAACAAAAGCTGGGCATGTGTGCTGTGGAGATGGGCGGCTTTGAACTTGACAGCCTGGCCAGCTGCTGCTGCTCAGCCTGCTGCTGGCCTGGAAAGTTCCCATGCCTGGAAGTGGGAGCAGTGTGGCCAGGGTCCCACCACCCTGCTGGGCTGCAAGGGGTCCGGGTCCCAGGAGAGGGCTGGGGGAGGCTCTCCTGATCTTTCCTCCATGTGGTTCAAGCCTCTTAGTCCCTCAGGTTGAGCTCCTGCCCCTCCTGGGGCTCTGATAACCCACTTGTCCACCCAGGGGCTCACACAGAGCAGCCTTTAGGGGGTGACCAGATGTCCCGGAGGACCTACTGCTCTTGGACAAGCTTCCTGCCCCTCACTCACCAGCTGGGCCACCCACAGGGGTAGAGAGGGAGCATGAATGGGAGCCCCAGGCAGCATTTGTGTGTGTGTGTGTGTGTGTGTATGTGTGTGTGTATTAATGTGCACAGTATGTATATGTATATGTATATGTATATGTATATGTATATGTATATGTATATGTATATGTATGTGTATGTGTATGTGTATGTGTATGTGTATGTGTATGTGTATGTATGCATGCAGTGTGCATGTGTATGTGATGTGTGTATGAATGTGTGTGCACAGTATGTTGGAAGCTGAACAGATGATGGGACTCGAGCTGCCTGCCTTCCCCAGCAGCTGAAGTGTCCGATATTCCCTCTCACCACTGCCAGGCCTTCTTCCTCATCTTCCTCCAGATGACCCCTCCTCTTCCTCAGACTCTCTAATCACTCAGGCCTCATCAGAGTGCAGTCCCCAGAATTAATGCACATTTAAATTTGAATGAATTAAAATGAAGTAAAAGTTAAAATCCAGTTCCTCATTCACGCAAACCACATTTCAAGTGGTCAGTGGTCAGTGGCTGCTGTATCGGGTAGCACAGAACAGGACATTTCTGTCACCACAGAAAGTGCTGCTGGACAGCGCTGGTCTAGAGACCCCCAAGGAGAGAAGGTGTCCGGCTGCTCCCACCACCCCTCTCATTCCAATCACAATGCAGCTCGGGCCCTGGTACCCGCTCAAGGCCTCCCAGCGCGTCCTCCTGGCTGCAGCACAGTTGCATAGCCCTTCCCCCTCAGGTGGGCCTTTCGCAGTCACTCCCAATGCACTTCCCTCCCACCCTTGGTCACCACTAATTTCCCTTCTGTCTCTATGGATTTGCCTATACTGGACAAATGGAGTCATCTATACTAATAAAAGGGTAACATGCTAATTAGATTGGGTCGACCAGCCATCTTCTGGAAGTCTGTCTTCCTTAAAGACAAAGCCACAGTGGTGGGGACTGAGGCAGTTGGGGGTGAGATCAGGCTGGTAGGGGAGGGTAGTGGGGGTGAGATCAGGCCGGCAGGGGAGGGCAGTTAGGGGCAATCAGGCAGGCAGGCAGAGAGGTTAGGGGCAATTAGGCAGGCAGGCAGAGGGGTTAGGGGCAATCAGGCAGAGGCAGTTAGAGGTGATCAGTCAGGCAGGTGAGCATTTAGAAGCCAGTGGTCCCAGATTTAGGCCCACAGAGATTGGGTCTAAACCATCAGTCGGACATCTCCCAAGGGGTTCCCGTTTGGAGAGGGTGAAGGCTGGGCTGAGGGCCCCCCTCCCCCCAACCACATGCTGTGCATGAATTTCATGCACCAGGCCACTAGTACAGCATATAACCTCTTATGACTGGTTTCTTTCACTGAGCACAATGTCTTAAGGTCCCTCTGTGCCATCCCATGTATCCTGCTTCATTCCTTTTTTTTATGGCCGAATAATATAGTATGGACAGACCACTTTGGCTTATCCACTAAGCTGTTGATGGATATCTGGGTTGTTTCCACCTTTTGACTCCCGTGATTGGTGCTGCAGCATTCATGTACAAGTATTTGAGTGTCTGTTTTCAGTTCTCATGGGGAGACTCTCAGGAACAGAATTGCTGGGTCATGATAAGTCTATTATACATTTAACTTCCTGAGCAGCAGCCAGATTGTTTCCCTAAACATCCTGACGGTTTCTCCCTCTCTGCTTATCACCCCTGGGAACTCTGTCCTGCCTTTATTTCCCTGCCTCTTCCACCCCTGTCTTCCCTGTGGGCTGAGCCTCCCCAGCCTGGCTTACCGCAGTCTCCCAGTGCCTGGCGTGGTTCCTGGCACATAGTAGGTGCACCTGTGTTGAACAACCGAGTGAACTGTGCCTTCTCTGCTCTCGCCCCAGGCTTGTGAACGAGGTGTTCACCATCGATGACACGCTGCAGACCCTCAGGATGAGGCTGCGGGAGACGCAGGACACGCTGCAGCTGCTGGTCATGACCAAGTGCCGGCTGGAGCATGAGCTGGCCATCAAGGCCAACACCCTCTGCATCGACAAGGACAAGTGCATGTGCATGCGCAGGACCTTCCCCAGCACCCCGCGCCTCGTGGGCTACTCGTGAGCTGACACCGCCAGCGGTGCCTGCTCCGCATCAGTTCCTTATGCAACATAAACTTTGAAAAGGCAGACAAATGAAATAAACAAAAGTGTTGTTTTCTCCCTTTCCTCCTATCATAGAAAAAAAAATATATGTATCCCAAATAAATGTGCCCTAAACCAAAGATCCTGGCTCTCGTTCCTTGCCGTAGAACAGGCCTCGGGGCAGTGGGTTCAGAGAGGAGACAGGCTGTGACCCTCAGACAGAGCAATATGAGGCTGTCAGCATCCCCAGCAACAGAGGAGGCCGTGTTTCATAAAACCTGATTGTCCATTTAGGAGCACAGTATAGACAGGCTGTTGTGCCCAGAGAATGGATAGGAGCAGAGAGTCCGCAGCCCACCCATCAGGAGCTATGGGCCTTGAACAAGCGTCCAACCTCAGCATCCTTGTCCAGCTAGGGAGGTCAGTTCCCGGAGGAGGTGACTCAGCTGTGCCAGGCGGTGCCAAAAAATAGGGTTTGGGTCAGAAGTCCTAGGGCTGAAACTCAGCTTTGCTAGGTGGGGAGTTTTAGACGTTGATATGGGAGAAGGCAAAGGCAGGTAAGGGTACAAAGAAAGCTCTTTGAAGAAGTGAGATCACTTCAAAAGGTTAAATGTAGAACTACCAAACGACCCAGAAATTCTACTCCTGGGTATATACGCAACAGCATTGAAAACAAACAAAAAATGAGCACATAAATATTCATAGCAGCACTAGTCATAATAGTCAGGAGGTGGAAACAGCCCAAATGTCCATGCATGAATGGGTAAGTGGGAAAACAAGATGTGGTCTAGCCACACAATGGAATACCATTCCCCTTAATAAAGGAATGAAACCCAACTTATTAACCAATGTCACCTTTCTCCCCCAAAAAAGAACCCCCCACACACATACACACATAGAAAAAAAAAAAAAAAAGAATGAAGCGCTGACCCATGCACAACACAGATGAACCTTGAAGACATGGTGCTAAGTGGAAGAAGCAAAGGTCACACATTGTATGGTCCCAGTTACAGTGTATGAAACGCCCTCAATAGGCAAATCCATACAAATGGTCGGGGGGAGGGAGAGAGAGAGAGAGAGAGAGAGAGAGAGAGAGAGAGAGAGAGAGAGAGAGAGAGAGAGAGAGAGAGAGAGAGAGAGAGGCATGGGAAGTAGTAACTATCTCGTGGGTACAGGCTTTAAGGAATGGTGAAAAGGAGGAGAAGAAAGTTGAAGGAAGAGAGGCAGTGGCACAACATTGTGAACGTGCTGAAATGCCATCGAATTGTTCTCTTTAAGTTGTTTATTTTATCGTATGTAAAATTCGCCTCAATTAAGCAAGAGAAGAAAAGTCCTATTGCAACTGAGTCTTGAGTGATGAGGAGGTTGAGGCAGAAGAGGGTGGGATTTCTGGAGTGAGGAGTAGCCTGGATAAAGGCGGGAGCTGGCTGGAGGAGCTTTCGGAGAGGCCCGTGAACCCTCTGGAAGGGTCATGAGGCCAGATCGTGAGTGACAAATTGCTTTTACTTTTTCCTGAGGTCAGTGTTTGCCAGACTTTGTTATTGACATCAGTGCTTTCCAGTGTTAACGTGCATGTGACCCTCACCTGCAGACCTTGCTAACATGCAGATTCTGAGTCGTGTGGTCTGAGGTGGAGTCTGAGACGGAATCGAGCTTCAGACGATGCTGACAGCCCAGGATCCACACACTGAGCAGCAAATAACACCTCCTCAATTTTTGCCATAACCAAGAACTGCCTTTACTATTACTTACTCTTTTAATTGGTGTGCTTGAAAAAGTCCATTTATTTTAAGGAATTTTAGGGTGACTGTGACAGGAAACCTGCCTGGCCCAATCTCGAACAAAACAAAGTATTGTTAACGGTGACTGGTTAGGGAATATTGTCTGTCTAAGATAACACTGTCTGAGATCTTTGTTTTTATTCAAAAGGGAGGTCAGCCAACAAATCTTATATATATATATATATATATATATATATATATATATATATATATATATATATTATTGATTTTTTACAGAGAGGAAGAGATAAGGATAGAGAGTTAGAAACATCAATGAGAGAGAATCATTGATCAGCTGCCTCCTGCACAACCCCTGCTGGGATGTGCCCACAACCAAGGCACATGCCCCCGACCAGAATCAAACCTGGAACCCTTCAGTCCGCAGGCCAACACTCCATCCACTGAGCCAAACCGGTTTCAGCAGCCAGCAAGTCTTAAAGGAAAGTTAAAGGCCACTTAGTATTCAGTGGAGACTCTCTCTGCTACAAATGAGTAGGGATCCTTAAAGTGGGGATGTGAAATGACCTGATTGGTGTTTTAGAAATAATCTCTTCATGAGGAAGAGGAGGAGGAGGAAGCTGAAGGGAGGTGGGGAGACCAAGCTGTTAGAATTTCAGGCAAAGCTGCAGGGAGGCTGGATTAGGACAGGTGCTTAGGAATATTCATGAGGTGGGAGCCAGAACCCTTTGAGGGGTGGGTTGTAAGGGGCAAGTGGGAGCCCTAATAGGGCAAAGATGCCAGGCTAGGGCAGCAGGCAGCGGTGCTTGGGGTGCTGCACCCCAACAGAAGGGAGTGAGTGGGTGGCAGAAACAGAGAGAAGTTGATTAACTTCTCTTTCCCATGAGGAGTTTGAATCACTGCCCAGAGGAACGTGCTGGTGTAAGTGGCTGAAAGGCAAGTGGAAATGTGGTCTTAGAACTCAGGCGAGAGGCTCTGCCTGGGGATGTGGGAGAGAGCTAGAGCCTCGGGAACAGAGGGGCTGATGTGGGGAGATCCTCAAGAATGAAAGAGAGGTTCCCAGTGGAATGTGATGCTGGGGTGGGTGAGTCCAAGGAGGGAACAGCCAGAGCAGTGAGATGCAAACAGCCCAGAAGAAGCAATGGCAAGGGGATCGGAGGAAGAGTTGCAAAAATGGGGATGTGCAGATGAAGAATGAAAGCCTTTTGGGCCCTAGCCCATTTGGCTCAGTGGAAAGAGCATCACTCTATGGACTGAAGGGTCCTGGGTTCAATTCCGGTCAAGGGCATGTACCTCGGTTGCAGATTCAATCCCAGGCACTGTGGAAAGGCAACCAATCAATGTGTATCTCTCACATAGATGTTTCTCCCTCTCTACTTCTCACTTCCACTCTCTAAAAATCAATGAAAAAATATCCTCAGGTGAAGAGAGAGAGGGGGGGGGAGAAAGAAAGAAAGAAAGAAAGAAAGAAAGAAAGAAAGAAAGAAAGAAAGAAAGAAAGAAAGAAAGAAAGAAAGAAAACTGGTCTGACTCAGTGGATAGAGTGTTGGCTTGCAGACTGAAGGGTCCCAGGTTTGATTCTGGTCAAGGGCATGTACCTTGGTTGCAGGCACATCTCCAATAGGAAGTGTGCAAGAGACAGCTGATCGATGCTTCTCTCTCATCAATGTTTCTAGCTCTCTGCCCCTCTCCCTTCCTCTCTGTAAAAAAAAAAAAAAAATCAATAAAATATATTTAAAAGAAGAAAGAAAGAAAGAAAGAAAGAAAGAAAGAAAGAGAGAGAGAGAGAAAGAAAGAGAGAGAGAGAGGAAGGAAGGAAGGAAGGAAGGAAGGAAGGAAGGAAGGAAGGAAGGAAAGAAGCCTTTTGGAAGCGGGCATTCAAAATAGACCAATGACCCAGATACCCATGGGTGCATACATTTTTTAAAAGAAAATTAGCAATATGCATCAAGAGCTTAAAAGTATCTACATTCTTCAGCTTATGAGTGTCTCCAGACTGGTCATGAGAAAACTGTCCCAAATGCAGCCCCCGATGCACGTGTTAAAGATTTATCACAGGCAACCTTTGAAAGTTCTTCAACAGCAGGGAGCAGCTAAGCAAAGTATTAGCACAACCAAGCCATGGAGCTTTAAGTGGCTGCAGAGATGACGCACGCCACATGCTCAGATGCCGAAGGAACGGCCTGTGAGGCTGAACGTGCGCAGGAAGAAAGGCTGCCCCGGAATGTCAACAGTGTCCATGTGAGCGACCACTCGGCTCTCGTTGTTGATACTGTGAGTTATCTACGGTAAACATGTGTTCCTTCGTGAACCAGGAGGAAATGCTTTTCTAAATAGACATTTTATTTGTCATTAGCTTTTGATTTATTTATGACGAAGTTGCAAAGATGACACGTTTCCCACTTACCCTTCACCCATCTTCCCCGTTTGCTGTGTGCCTTGGTCCGAGCTGAGAAATGAACATGAGTGCATTTCAAACCCCAGGCTTTGTCTGTCTTTCCTAAGATCCGATGCAGGTTGTCACGGTGCCCTGAGTTATTCGTCTCCTCTGTCAGTGACTGGTTCTCCATTTGTTCTTGTTTTCATGACTTTGACAGTTTGGAAGAGTACTTGTATTTATAGATATTTGCCAGGTGCCCCTGGTTTTGGGTTTGTCTGATGTTTTTCTCATGATTAGTCTGGGTTTATAGGGTTTTCTTTGGAAGACCACAGATGTGGTGTCCTTGTCATCCCTCATGTCAGGGCATTCAGAATCTCCCCTTGGTGTCCTGGTGATGTTACCCGGATCACCGAGTTAAGATGTCTGCCAGGTGTCTCCACCTGAAGGTACTGCCCTTCCTCCCCATTCTTCATCCTTTGGAAGTGAGTCACTACGCTCAGCCCACACTCAAGGGCAGAGCGGATTAAGCTTCACCTTGTGGAGGGGGAGTATTTACATATATTATTTGTGATTCTTCTCTAATAAAAGTATGTCCCTAAACCTTTACTTATTCTGTCATTTATGTGTATCTATATGCACTCATGGACATTTAGTTTACACTTTGGGTTATAATCCAAAACTGATTCAGAAAGGGTGGGGCAAAAGTAGGTTTACAGTTGTGAGTGCATGGAACATAGAGTTTGTTCCTGTATTGTTATTTATTAATTGTTGTATTATTTTCCATACAAACAATGGTAAACCTACTTTTGCCCCACCCTGCATATACTACTTATTCCGCTGTTCAAATTGTTCCAGCGCTGG